TGTTCTGCTGTGCATGGGGTCACTATGAGTCGGAAATGACTCGATGGCACTTAACAACAACAACAACATACAGGAAGGAAGGTTGGGCAATCTCCTTCCATAGTGATACCGCCTTGGAAACCCAAGGAGGGGTCACTATGAGTCGGGTCCAACTCAATGGCACATAACAACAACAACATATCTATATATCTGACAAACTAATAGTGATTTTGAAGCTTTTGAACTAAAATGGATGTTGAATACAGAAAGAAGGGAACTGAGTGGAAGACTACTGGATATAGAGGAAGTAGAGGGAAGTAGTGGAGCTCAGGTCTCCATGAAGCCAAAGAATAGATCTTATAGGAATGGTAGAAGAAAAGGGAGAGGATATAGGGGAGTTCGTTGGTGTGAAAAAGTAAATTTGGGCACATGTGAGAAAGGAAGACAGGAATTCTGGAGGTGAAAAATTTCAGGCGATAGCAGGCTTTGGGTATGACTCTGCAAGTGAAAGACTGAGGCAGAGAAATGGAAAGTTCAAACAGGGCCTTGAATGAGATGTCTGTTTGGATATGGAAGTCATCCAGGATCATGGCTTCACTCAAGTTGGAAAGGAAAACAGTAATACAGGTGCCAAAGCTTTTATATGATGATGAATTGTGACTAGAGATTAAGAGATGATGATACCAATAAGAAGGGAGATGGTGCATAGCTGGATAGCAGGAATATCAAAGCAACAGTGATATTATTACTATTTTTTTCATGAAGGTAAGAATGCAATGGTCTGGAAACAGTTCTAAGGACAATGGAATCATCAACTTGAGGCTACCTGGGGTTTGGAGGAATACACAGCCATTATTTCCAGGAGAAATGTTGTCCTCATTGGAGAATGGGATTTCAGACAAGATAGCAAGGCAGAGATAGGGTTCTGAAAGAAAGTTGAACATGTAGGAAAGATTGCAAAATATAGAATGAAATTCCAGTGGGTACAGTGGAAGAATTTGGGAGGTAAGGAAGAAAAGTGTGTGTGCATGTGTGTGTGTGTGCCTTGGAGTTACAGGGCAGTGAAGAATAGAGCATTTGGGTATTTTATCATGGTGGTAGAACATAAATGTCTGGGAATGGTGTGGGGACCCAGGAAACTGGAGGAAGGGTCTGAATGAGTAAAAAAAGGATACGAGAGTATGGTAGTATCTGCAGTTTAAGTAGTCTCCCTCCCATCAGGTTAGGACCTGGGAACAGGAGCTTAGCTGTAATAATGAAAGCAAAATAGAAGTTGGAAAATATGACAGGACATGATTAGTGGAGACTTCCAGTTTAGAACTTCATCCAGGAAAATGAGTTCCTTAATTACTGAAATGCTAATAATATAAAATGTCTAGTCTGGCAGAGTTTTTCACCAGGAAGCATAGGGCCTTTGCAACACTTGATCCACTCTAAGTGGTCATTGCTCCCCTCAGTCTTTCATGACAAAGGTTTCTGGTAAAATGGTTTTATAGAAATTCAAGTTCTTCTTGGAAATCTGAGATATATTACAATATACATAATTTGCAAGAACTTTTAAAATTTTTCAATATTGTAATATTATCAGTTGTAATTGGTTAAAAAAAAGGGGCATGAATCTTGAATCTACCTTGTTGCTCAATAATGATAAATAAATATTTAAAACTCATGTAACAACTTGAAATATATTTTGGAATATACTGAAAATATATTTTCCAAAGGTATTTAATTCAATATCAGGAAGTGCTTAGATACTGTTTGAATCTTCTTCTTTCCCAAACCTGAGTGGTGATACAGACTTTACAAATAATTTTAAAATTCATGCTGAGTAATGGACTTACTTTGCATGGGCTATGGATGAGTCATATGTGAACAAGCATGATGGTCTGTTGTTGTTTCTGATTCATAGAGACCCTTTATAAAACAGAACAAAACACTGCCCAGTCTTGTGCCATCCTCACAATTTTTACTTTGTTAGAGCCCATTATTCTTCAATTCATCTCACTGAAAATTGTCTTCTTATTTGCTGACTCTCTACTTTACCAAGTGTGATGTCGTTCTCTAGGGACTGGTCACTCCTGATAACATGTGAAAATTACGTGAGATGAATCGTCACCATCCTCACTTCTTCTTCCAAGACAAATTTATCTGTTCTTCTAGCAGTTCATGGTATATTTAATAAGCTTTAGCAACAACATAATTCAAAGGCATCAATTCTTCTTCAGTCTTCCTTATGCATTGTCAGCTACACTCATATGAGGCTATTGAAAATACCATGGCTTGGATCAGGTGCTCCTTAGTCTTCAAAGTGACACTTTTGGTCTTACACATTTTAAAGAGGTCTTTCACAGCAGATTTGCCCAATGCAATACATCAAATTTCTTGACTGCTGCTTCCATGAGCATTGATTGTGAATTCAAGTAAGAGTAAATCTTCAGGAACTTCAGTCTTTTCTCTATTTCTCATGATGTTACTGATTGGTCTAGTTGTGAGGGTTTTTGTTTTCTTCATGCTGAACTATAATCCACTCTGAAGGATGTAGTCTTTGAACTTCATCAGTAAATGCTTCAAATCATCTTCACTTTTAGCAAGCAACACCATATCACAGGTTGTTAATTAGTCTTCCTCCAATCCCAATGCTGCATTTTTCTTCATATATTCCAGCTTCTTGGATTATTTTCTCAGCATGCAGATTGAATAAATATGATGAAAGAATACAATATTGACACACAACTTTCCTGATTTGAAACCACACAGTACCTCCTTGTCTGTTTGAACAGCAGCCTTTTGAACTATGTACAGGTTCCACGGGGTCTAGTTTTAATTAAGACCAACGTTTGAACTCTGATCTTTTTGGAGTTATATCTGATAGTATTACTACACTCTCATCTTTTGTCATAAGAAAAGAGACTTGAGAATTATTTGCATTCCAGTTTAATTTTCTGCTTAAACAATTTAAGAAATTGTATTTAAACAATTAGGACTTAATATATTTATGTTTGTATTCTGACACCACATTCAGTGTCTAGGATAGTATAGATAAATGATTGTTCAACGTACCTGTTATATAATGCAACAATAATGCTGCATAACAACCAGAAAAACTTAATGGCATACCACCAAAACTACATTTATTTTGCTCATGAGGCTGCTGGGTTTATCTGACTTGTAACGGGTCCAGGTGATCTCTGCAGGACTGACTAAACATCTGGGGTACAGGTGTCTATTTCTTGCCTTTGCTTGGATGTTTGTGGCAGTTTATCTCTGCTCTATGTCTTTTTCAATCTCTAGTAACCTAATCTGGGCTTATTCTTACAGCATGAAGGAAGTGCAAGGATAAGCAAAACCAACTGTGTAGGCATCTTTCAGACCTTGGTTGTGACTTTCAGAGTGAAAGGTTAAAGTAGAAAAATGAAAAGTTCATTTGTAAGAGAGTCACACATAGTTTTGAATAGGATGTCTGTGCGGATGGGGAAGTTAGCCAGGATCATGAATGTGTTGAAGCTGGAAAGTAAAACAATAATACAGGTGCCAAAGTTCTTATATTATGATTGATTGTGACTAGAGATTAAGAGATGAAGTTCTAATATCCTGTTGGTCCAAAGGAAGCTACATGGAGAAATAAAAAATCAGAGCAGTAGGAGGGCCAAGAAAACTACATGGAAAACACTTGGATACAGAGAGAGGTGAAGAATTGGGGCCATTAATGCAACCAGTTCACCTTCTTGAATTGTAAAATGAGCACATCAATCATAGAATGAGGTAAAAAGTACTGGACTGTGAGTCAGGAGACATATCTCTGAGGCTCAGAACTGTTCATTGTGTCAACTTTGGTAAATTAGTTTATCTTGCTAAACTCTAATTTCCTTATTGACTCTCTCCAAGCTTGAAAGATTTTTAATTTTATAAATCAAGCTTTCAATAAATTTAATAGTACACAGACATGGCAGGAGGATTTTGTGGGAAATTTGTTCATTATCCTACACTTTAGTGAACCAAAATGGTTAGTGTGGATGGCCAAAATTTATTGGCTATTTTTTTTTCTATGAACCTTTGAGTAGTTTTAGTAGTATTCAAACTGATAAGCTTCTAGTCAAAGTTTGGGTGCGAAGCAAAGTGCTTAAAGTTCCATTTCCTATTTAATTTTTGATCCTATCTGATGATTCTTTTGAAGTATATAATATGTCAGTATAAACCAAAAACTATGACATTTCTTGGAGCTCTGGTGGCACAGTGCCTAAGGCATTTGACTGCTAATCAGTAGGTTTGTAGTTCAAACCTACCAGCACCTGTGGAGAAGGAAGATGAGACAGTCTACTTCTGTAAAGATTTACTGCCTTGGAAACTCAATGTGGGTTGCTGTGAGTCGGAATCTACTCAATGGTAGTGGGTTTTTTTTTGTTTTTTTTTTAGGTTTTATGACATATCTTACATGAGATACAAATTTTAAGGGCTGTTGCAGTGCCTTAATAAGAAATTGCTATGATGTTGATGATTCTTAAATAGACTAGAGGAGCAGTGTCAAGTTTTCACAATGCTGATTAAAAATAAGGGTTATTTAAAAGTAGATGTTATAGATTTGTTTTATATAAAGGTTACAGATAATATGTAAGTGAAATCCATGCTTCATTATGTATAACACATACCTATTTAATACATAATGAAATGCTGGATTTTTTACAAAAATAAAAAAATAATAAATCAAAATATTGTAGATAAAAAAATATAAGCTCCCCAGGAATAAATTAGTACATAATCTTTGAAGATGACTTTCTGTGCCTGAAGTGGTTTCTTATTCTTGTTACTTCTATTGCATCAGATATTCCACACCTAGATTACCAAAACATACTGATGAAAATACAATTTGTAACTCACTTGGACCTGTAGAGTGTTCTGTTTCAGACTTATCAAAATGACTTGTCACATAATAGATGTTTATCCTCGCTGGATCTCTGGGAAGCATTTATTTTGCACTGATAATTTACTTGTGAAATCAATCACTATGGTCGATGTCATTTCAGATTCACCATCTAGGCATAGCCAGAAAACCACACTTAAATCAAGCTGGCCCAGATTCAGAAGCACCAGTTGCTTGTCAGAATAATTCGGCTGATCTGGACAGAGAGAGGAGCAAGAGAGAGGCAACTACAACTGCAGACTCCAGTGTGACTACAGGTCAGTTAAGCCACACGACATTGATTTTAACTGCCTGTGTGATGAATGCACAATACAATGGTGTCTTTCTCCTATTTCGTTTGGAATGTGACTCATCTCAATGAAATGAAATTTTACATGCAGACGGTATTAAACCCTGAGAATCATGAGAAAGCTGTTCATTGTTACCTAGTATTAGATTTTTCTCCTCATTTATGATTTTCATGACCAAAGAAAGTGTCTTATTTTAAGATTCCATGTATTAGTGTTGTAACATTTTGATTTTTTTGCTAGTAGGATTAATGGCTTGAGCAAAGAGGCTAAAATAATTGTGATGTTTTAATTTAAAGAAGGGCCAGGTAAGTCATCTAATACACCCTTGAATTATGATAGTTTAGTTTATAGAGATAATGATCTGATTATTTTCATCTCTGTCGAGGGCAAAACAAGGACAAGTAGACTTGTGCAGCATTCAATTACGCTACTAAAGTAACTTCCATATTGTGGAAAACTGGGAAGAGTTACCAAAGGAAATAAGAATTTTCTTTCTTGGCTATATTTTAGAGACACCACACTAGCTTCATGTCTATTATACTTTATCTTCAAAACTCCATGTTTAGTTTGTAGAAAAATTGAAATCGTAATTATTCTTAAGCATACAGTTTGTTCCTTTCTCTTCCTTACTTGGTTTTCTAACTAGCACACTTTTCCCTCCAAGGGCATGTAAAAGTCAAAATAGTAGATATAAAGTCTTGAAATGTTTCTGCTCCAAATGCTGTCTGTACAGTCTGGTTCTTTCAAGTAGTTAGCTTACTGGCTTCTGACACTCCTATAAAAATATCCTATAGAGTTTTTCTTATTACCTTTTCATTGACTCTCTCCGAGTGATAAAAATGAAATTTTGTAAAGGGCTTTGAAAATCATGAATATTGCAATTTCTCCAAATTTCAAATACTAATCAAGTCTGACTATAAAAGAAACAACTGCAGTGAATTGACATTACTGCAGTGTGTTGACTCTCAAGTCATTATTAATTCATTGGAAACTTTTTTTTTTTTTCCTTAAGATTCTGAATCCCAAGCAGTATCAAATAACACAATTCCTGAAAGCAAGGTTTTTGTTTCAATCACAGGAAAACTTGTTATCTGATATGCCCCCGTGTGCATCTCCCTGGGCAGGCCATGGTACACCAGCAGCCCCAGCATTGTGCCCCAAGTGAATAGTGTAGGATGTGTTACCCAGCAGAGCAACTCCCATTTTGAACATGCTGCCTGTAAGAGTTTTAGGGGAAAAGGGACCTGGAATTAAAGCAGTGGTACTGGGCAAGTGAGACTTCTTACCTTTATTCAAGAAAATAAAATGATATCTCCTTCCTAAGGTTAATTTCAACATTCATTTCTTTAGAAATTATCTAGTTAGCATATCAGGATAATATTTTTATTTGGTTCTCCATTTTTAAATACAGAAAATTACAGAAACTTTTCATATTATGAGTTATAAATGTATTATATTTCCATATATAAAATATAAAAGTAAAGTAAAACAGAAATACAATTTTCAAACTTCATTTTTTCTTGTCACTATAGTATATACCTCTCAGTGAAAAAAAGGGAAAAGACATATGGGTCCATTCTTAACAATGACCATACCTGTAATGGATGATCTGCATATTTAGTAACTACCTACAGGTTCAGGATGGATAAATGATACCCTTTCTGAGCTTTCCCTCTCCTTAATGCTTAGAGAAAAGTCAGTCTGTTCCTAAGTTGCCTTGTGGCGAGTGTGGAAATTTCAGTCTTCGTAGCATATCATAAAATGTCCCTGGGTGGTACTAGCAGCTTGCACTTGGCTATTAATACAAAAGTTAGTGGTTCAAACCCACCAAGCAGCATCACCAGAAGAAAGGCCTGGTGATCTTTTGTAAAGACCACAGCCAGAAAAACCTCATGGAGCAGTTCTACTCTGTAACACATGGGGTTCCCATGGGTTGTAATCAACTTGACTGCAGTAAGTTTTTTTTTTGTTGTTGTTGTTATTGTTTGTTTGTTTACTTGTTTGGTGGCATAACATAGACCAAAAAAATAAAAAAAATTATTAAGATGGGTGCTGCTTTTCTAGTTTTGTTTTTTCAGGATACCATCTAGGTCTTAGTCTATCAGTTAGACCAGGTGAGGTGGCATAGTGCCTAAGGCATTTGACTGTTAACCAGAAGGCTGGAGGTTCAAACCCACCAGCCACTCCTTGGAAGAAAGATGGCACAATCTACTTCCATAGTGATACAACCTTGGAAATTCAAGGAAGGGTCTCTATGAGTTGGATCAGACTCGATGAGTTTGGTTTTTTGGTTTTATCTAATACCAAAGATATCAAAGCTAATTTTTTGTTTTGGAGTTCAGTGAAAACAACTAAAGGATTTTCTGTGATCATAGCCTACTCTATTCTGTCCAGAAAACAATGAGCTAACTCAAGCTCAGTGTCATCAGTCTCTAGCTCCTCTTCACTAAGAAACTAATGAGAATGCCTCACCAGATCTCCAGGTGACCTTTCTTCTGTGGGTTCTTTTTTCACTCTAGTTGTGCAACAATGCACAGGTCCTGCTTTAGGAACATTATTCTTAACACTGTGCATTGTTTTGCCAATAAATTCCTAAAAGCACTGTCCTATGAAAATAGGATGATTAAGTGATTAACCTTTGCAATACAAACTCAGACTACTAAGCTTAAATGTTGACCCCTAATAACCTAGTTGTATACATGAGCAATTTGTTAACATCTCTAACACCTTGTTTCCAAAATTGAGTAAATAATAGTGCTACTTCATGAGATTGTTTTGAAGATTATACTAGATAGATAGGTAAAAGTTACTATCCAAACCAAACTCTTAACATCAAGTCAATTTTGACTCATACCAACCCCCACTGGGTTTCCAAGGCTGTAAATCTCTTCAAAAGCATACTGCTTCATATGCCTTCCATGGAGCAGCTGATGGTTTTGAATCACTGACCTTTTGGTTAGCAACCAAATGCCTTAACCACTACCCCCCACAAGAGCTCTTTCAAGTTAGTATCATACAAAATAAATTCTAATCGAATCATTGTTGTTGTTAGGTACTGTCGAGTCATCTCCAACTCATAACAACCCTATGTACAGCAGAACAAAACACTCCCCAGTCCTGTGCCAACCCCATGAAACTTGCTGTATCTGAGCCCATCCCTGCAGCCACTGTGTCAATCCATCTCATTGAGAACCTTCCCCTTTCTCATTGACTCTCCTCTTTACCAAGCATGATATCCTTCTCCAGGGAATGGTCCCTTCTGACAACAAGACCAAAGTAGATAAGAGGAAGTCTGGCCATTCTCACTTCCAAGGAGAATTCCCGCTGTACTTCCTCCAGGACAGATTTGTTAGTTCTTTTAGCAGTCCACGGTACTTTCAGCATTCTTTGCCAACACCACAACTCAAAACCATAAACTCTTCTTTGGTCTTCCTTATTCATTGTCCAGCTCTCACATGCATATGAGGTGATTGAAAATATCACGGCTTATGTCAGGCTCACTTTAGTCTTCAAGGAGATATCTTTGCTCTTCGGCACTTGGAAGAGGTCTTTGGCAGCAGATTTGCCCAATGCTATATGATGTCTGATATCTTGACTGCTGCTTCCATTGGTGTTGATTGTAGAACCAAGTAATATCAAGTCTTTGACAACTTCAGTCTTTTCTCCATTTATCATGATGCTGCTTATTGGTCCCATTGTGAGGACTTTTGTTTTCTTTACACTGAGGTATAATCCATACTGCAGACTGTAGTCCAGTCTTCATCAGTAAGTGCTTCAAGTCATCCTCACTTTCAGCAAGTGAATTTGTGTCAGCATATTGCAGGTTGTTAATGAGTCTTCCCCCAATCCTGAGGAATATATTCATATAGTCCAGCTTCTTGGATTATTTGCTTAGCATACAAATTGAACAAGAATGGTGAAAGTATACAACCCTGACACACACCCTTCTTCATATTGCACCATGCAATGTCTCCTTGTTCTGTTCAAACTACAGCCTCCTAGTCTATGTACAGGTTCCTCATGAGTACAATTAAGTGTTCTGGAATTCCCATTCTTCTCAGTGTTCCCATAATTTGTTATGATCCACACAATCAAATGCTTTTGCATAAGCAATAAAACACAAGCAAACATCTTTCTGTTCTTTGCTTTGAGCCAAGATCCATCTGACATCAGCAATGATATCCCTCATTCCACATCCTCTTCTGAATCCAGCTTGCATTTCTGGAAGTTCTCTGTCAATATACTGGTTCATCCATTTTTTATTATCTTCAGAAACATTTTACTGGCATGTGATATTAATGATATTGTTTGATAATTTCCACATTTTGTGAGATCACCTTTCTTTGAAATGGGTACAAATATGGATTTCTTCCAGTCAGTTAGCCAGGTAGCTGTCTTCCAAATCTCTTGGCATAACTGAGTGGTGCCTCCAGTGTGGCATCTGTTTGTTGAAACATCTCAATAGATACTCTGTCAATTCCTGGATCCTTGTTTTTTGCCACTTCCATTAGTGCAGCTTCAACTTCTTCCTTCAGCATCATTGGCTACCTCCTGAAATGGATGAACACTGACCAATTCTTTTTGGTGCAGTGACTTTGTGTATTCCTTCCATCTTCTTTTGATGTTTCCTGCATCATTCAGTATATTGCCCATAGAATCTTTCAGTATTGCAACTCAAGGCTTAAACTTTTTCTTCAGTTCTTTCAGCTTGAGAAATGCTGAGTGTGTTTCTCCCTTTTGGCTTTCCAACTCCATGTCTTTTCACATTCATTATAATAATTGACTTTGTTTTCTCGAGCTGCTCTTTGAAATCTTCTGTTCAGCTCTTTTAGCTTGTCATTTCTTCCATTTTCTTTAGCTACTTTTTGTTCAAGGGCAGTTCCAAAGTATCTTCTGATATCCATTTTGGTCTTTTATTCCTTTTCTATCTTTTTACTGACCTTTTGCTTTCTTCATGGCTGATGTTCTTGATGTCATCCACAGTTTCTCTGGTTTTCGGTCATTGTTGTTCAGTGCATCAAATCTATTCTTTAGATGGTCTCTAAATTCAGAAGGGATATATTCAAGGTCATATTTTGGCTTTCATGGACTTGTTTTAATTGTCTTGAACTTCAACTTGAACTTGCATATGAGCAGTTAATGGCCTGTTCCACAGTCAGCTCCTGGCCTTGTTTTGGCTGAAGATATTGTGCTTCTCCATTGCTTCTTGCCATAGATGTAGTCTTTCTGATTCCTGTGTATTCCATCTGGCAAAGTCCATGTGTATAGCTGCCATTTGCATTGTTGGAAAAGGTATATGCAATGAATAAGCCGTTGGTCTTGCAAAATTCTATCATGCAATCTCCAGCATTATTTCTATCATCAAGGCCAAATTTTCTAACTACCAGTGATTCTTCTTTGTTTCCAACTTTTTCATTCCAATCACCAGTGATAATCAGCACATCTTGTTTGCATGTTTGTTCAATTTCAGACTGTAGAAGTTGGTAAAAATCTTCAATTTCCTCACCTTTGGCTTTGATGGTTGGTGCATAAATTGGAATAATTGTAGTATTAACTGGCCTTTCTTGTAGGTATATGGATATTATCCTATCACTGACAACATTGTACTTCAGGATTGATCTTGAAACATTCTTTGTGATGATGAATGCCATGCCATTCCTCTTCAATTTTTCATTCCTAGCAGAGTAGATCATATGGTTGTCTGATTCAAAATGGTCAAAAGCAGTCCATTTCAGCTCACTGATGCCTAGGATATCGATCTTTATGCATTCCATTTCATTTTTGACAACTTCCAATTTTCCTAGATTCATTCTTCATACATTCCATGTTCCTATTAGTAATGGATGTTTGCAGCTCACTCTTCTCATTTTGAGTCATGCCACATCCACAGATGGTGGTCCCAAAAGATCTGCTTTATCCATATCATTGAGATTGGCTCTACTCTGATGAGGCAACTCTTTTCTCATCATATTTTGAGTGCCTTCCAACCTGAGGGGCTCATCTTCCAGCACTATATTGGACAGTGTTTCAGGGCTATTCCTAAAGTTGCCCTGTAATATATTAGACAGTGTTTCACTACTATTTATAAGGTTTTCACTGGCCAATTCTTTGAGAAGTGGATGGCATCTTCTTCCTTCTTCCAAACCTGTCTCAGTCTGGAAGCTCCGTTGAAACCTGTCTACTATGGGCAACCCTGCCGGCACAAGCTCCAGCCTCACAGCAGCATGTAAGCCACCACAGGATGACAAACTGACAGACAAGTTCATTTCCCTTAACTGTTCCAACTGCTCTGCTCACTTTCCGGCCTTCCCCCTACCTGTTCTGGCCATCGGCCCTGACTCCCTCTTCTTCCCTGGGAGCTCTCCTCTCCTTACCTGTTTCGGCTGCTGAATCAAATCATAGCTACCATAATTAACTACAGAGCCTTTATGAGTTTATTGCTAAGGAAAACTTTGTTTCCCTGAATTATGTTCTGTATAGTGCTGGCTATGGCCACATGATTTTGTTGTTCTTACAATCTCTGAGTCTGGCTATACTTTTCCCCTTTTGAGAACTGTATCCTTTTGGGAATGTCATGGCCTCTGTTTATGCTAAGGACATGAGAAGGGATTAGAAACCCTCTTTGGTGGTGAGTCACTAATTCTTCCGAGTACAAGAAACACAGCAATTATTCAGATACATGAATGCTCTGACCCTCCCTATGACCTCATCTTGCTTCATCAGCCAGAACTCAGGAAGAGCCTATGGGCTTCAGTGTTTA